TATTTTGACAGTTTCTTTACCTATTTGTATTCCTTTTATTCCTTCTTCTTGCCTAATTGCTCTGGCTAGGAATTCCAGTACTATGTTGAATAGGAGTGGAGATAGTGGGCATCCTTGTCTGGTTCCTGATTTTAGAGGGAATGGTTTCAGTTTTTCTCCATTAAGTATAATGCTGGCTGTAGGTTTGTCATATAAGCTTTTATAATGTTGAGGTACTTTCCTTCTATTCCTATTTTCTTAGAGCTTTATCATGAAATGGTGTTGGATCTTATCAAAGGCTTTTTCTGCATCTATTGAGATCAAGTGGTTTTTGTCTTTGCTTCTGTTAATGTGTTTATTACGTTTATTGATTTTCGTATGTTGAACCACCCCTGCATCCCTGGGATGAAGCCTACTTGGTCGTGGTGAATAATCTTTTTGATGTGTTGTTGAATTCGGTTTGCCATTATTTTGTTGAGGATTTTTACATCAATGTTCATTAAGAGATTGGCCTATAGTTCTCTTTTCGGAGGTGTTTTTGCCTGGTTTTGGGATAAGTGTAATACTGGCTTCATAAAATGTGTTTGGCAGTTTTCCTTCCCTTTCTATTTCATGGAACAGTTTAAGGATGGTTGGTATCAGTTCTTCTTTAAAGGTCTGATAGAATCAGCAGAGAATCCATCAGGTCCTGGACTTTTCTTTTTGGGGAGACTCTTGATTGCTGCTTCAATTTCATTTTGTGTTATAGATCTATTCAGGTGATTAATGTCCTCTTGGTTCAGTTTTGGATGATCATATGTATCTAGAAATCTGTCCATTTCTTTAAGATTTTCAAATTTATTTGAATATAGGTCTCAAAGTAGTCTCTGATTTCCTGGACTTCCATGTTTTGTTGTTATCTCCCTTTTGCATTCCTGATTCTACTAATTTGGGTTTTTTCTCTCCTCATTTTAGTCAGGTTTGCCAGGGGTCTATCGATCTTGTTTATTTTTTCAAAGAACCAACTTTTTGTTTCATTAATTCTTGTATGGTTTTTTTGGTTTCTATTTGTTGATTTCAGCTCTTATTTTTATTATTTCTCTCCTTCTATTTGTTTTTGGGATTTGCTTGTTCTTGTTTTTCTAGGAGTTTGAGATGTATCATTATCATTGATTTGGGATCTTTCAGTCTTTTTAATATATGCATCATGGCTATAAACTTTCCTCTCAGGACTGCCTTAGCTGTGTCCCATAGGTTCGGTAGGTTTGTTTCATTTCATTGACTTCCAGGAACTTTTAATTTCCTCTTATTTCATGATCCATTTCCATTAAGTAATGAGTTATTTAGTTTCCAGCTGTTTGCATGTTTTTGTCTTTACTTTTGTTGTTGAGTTCTACTTTTACTGCATTGTGATCAGATAGTATGCAGGAATTATTTCTATTTCTTATATTTGCTGAGACTTGCTTTGTGCCCTAGGATATGATCTATTTTGGAGAAGGTCCATGGGCTGCTGAGAAGAATGATATTTGTAGAAGTTGGATGAAATGTTCTGTAGACATCAACTAGTCCATTGATCTATTGTATATTTAGATCTGGATTTCTTTATTGATTTTTTGTTTGGATGACCTATCTATTGATGATAATGGGTTGCTAAAGTCTCCCACAACCACTGGTTGGCGTTTATATATGCTTTAGTCTTTCAGGGTATGTTTGATGAAATGGTGCTTGACATTGGTGCATACAGATTGAGATTATTATTCCTTTGTCTATTCCCCTTTATTAGTATGGAATGTCCTTCTATCTTTGATCAATGTAGGTTGAAGTCTACTTTTCAGAATAAGTATTCTACTCCTGACTGTTTGGGGGCCATTGGCTTGGTAAACTTCTTCCAGCCTTTCATCTAACCATATGTTTATTTCTGTCATGAGAGGTCTCTTGTAGCACAAATTGTTGGATCTTCCCTTTTAATCCATTTCGTCAAGCGGTTGCCTTTTGATGCTGAATTAAGTCCGTTAACATTAAGCGTTAGTTACTGATGTATGTGTGATTCCTGTCATTATTGTCTTAGTTGTTTGAAGTTTGATTGTGTTTACCTAAGTTGAGGTTACTCCTTACTGTCTTGCTTTTCTTTCCTGTGGTTTGGTGCTGCTTCTTCATGGTTAAGTTGGTTCACTTTCTGTGTGCAGGATCCCTTGACGAATCTTTTGTAGTGTGCTATGGTACAATATTGTTTTAGTTTCTGCTTATCATGGAAGACTTTATTGCTCATCTATTTTGAATTATTTGCTGGGTAGAGTATCCTGGGGTTGAAGTTATTTTTATTCAGGCCTGGAAGATCTCACCCCACGCTCTTCTTGTTTAATGTTTCTGTTGAAGTCGCTGTGATTTTGATGGGTTACCTGTATATGCTGTTTTTTCTCTCTTACAGCCTTCATATTCTTTCCCTAGTTTCTGAACTTTGTTTTAATGAATGATATGTTGTGAGTAGTTCTATTTTGTCTGGTCTGTTTGGTGTCCTGAGGCCTCTGCATCGTATGAATATCTTTCTCTAGATTTGGAAATTTTCCGTTATTATTTGTGAATATATTACGCATTCCCTTCACTTGCACCTCTTCTCCTCTTCGATGCCCATGATTTCAGTTGGTCTTTTGATGGAGTCGGTGAGTTCTTGCATTTCTTTTCACAGGTCTTTGAGTTGTTTAATTAATAGATTTCTTTGGTTTTCCTTTAATTACCATTTCATCTTCAAGTTCTGAGATTCGTCTTCTGTTTGTTCTATTCCTGCTGATTAGCCTTCCTTTTGTTTTGCAGTTCTGTTTCTTCTTTTCTGAGTTTCCATATCCTGCTGTTTCCTCTTTAATGTGTCTATTTTGTCCTGAGTTCATTTATCGTTTATTCATTGTTTCTCTTTTCACTTTGGTTTTATACAGTCTTGTCCTTTATTTCTTCTTTTGCTTTTCAAATTCTCTATTTTGTTGTCTTAATTTCTTGAGTTCTCCTGTACATGGTTTGACCCTACCAGTATCATCTCTATAAAATTCTGATCCTGTAGTTTCTTCTTTTTAAATATATTCTTGTGCTTCATTGCCTTTGGCATAGTGTATCTCATTTTTGTGAGTCTGGATCTGAGTCTGTTTTTTTCTTCCCTCTGTCCTTACTAATTTTTGCTGTGGGAAAACTGGTTCTCCTTTTTTTCTGTCTTCCCTTCATTGTCTTGGTTTTGTACTTCCCTGTACTGTTGCAATAAATGTTTTCTACTGTGTAATAATAACATGGTAATATTTAAA